CCGCGTGCGCGTCGTGCGCCCGAACGGGCGCACCGAGACTCTTCATTTGAAAAAAAGGCACGCAGTGTTGCGATGGCCTCTGGCCTGAGATGCGCGACAGCATCCCAGACAGCGTCCACACTTCAGACTGGGAGCGTTGCCGCTCGTACTTGTGGGCTTGGGTGTGGCGCATGCGGAGGTCAGGCAACGACCTGCTCCAGGAGTTTGGCCAGTCTGTTCGCAGGGAGAGAGGCTGCATGCATTAAGTCGCCAAATCAGAGCGCGCGGCCCGCCCATGTGCAGAAGGCGCAGGCTGCGACCTCTCGCGTGCAGTTTTGTCGGCGCCTTGCTTCTCCGCAGCCCGCCCATGTGCAGAAGGCGCAGGCTGCGACTGTTCACGAGCAGATTTTGTCAGCGCCTTGCTTCTTCTAGAAAAAACACCAAAACCGCCCAGGCCTACATCGGGTCTGCTTTCGGAGGAGAGTGCGGGGAGGAGGAGGTGGGGAGGAGGAGGAGGAGGGAGGAGGGAGGAGGGAGGAGGGAAGGAGAGGAAGGAAAGGGAGGAGGAGGAGGAGGAGGAGGAGGAGGAGGAGGAGGAGGAGGGATAAGGAGGAGGAGGAGGGAGGAGGAGGAGGAGGAGACCCCAGCTTCCTGCGCCACTTCTCGGGCCAGATCCACCCGTGAAGGATCTCGGGGTCGCTTCTGCTCTGCCCTCCGAGATGATGGGGAGGGGGGAGGCGGAGCGCGACGACGACGACGACGACGACGACGACGACGACGACGACGACGACGAGGGCGCCAACGCGATGGAAGGGAAGGGGAGGGCCAGGGCCTGGGAGCCGGAGGGACGGGGAGGCGGATCGGCGGCGCGCAGGGGTGGCCCGCGGACATGAGAGCGGAGGGGCCCTGGGACGCGCAAGTCAAAGATCAGGACTCCCCGTAATTTGGCGGCGCGCACAAGGGGGTGGAGAGAGGGGGGAGGGCTTCTTAGAAGGAGGCTGCTTCTTCTTAGAAGGCGCCGGCCTCACATCTATAGATAGAGCCCGCGCCTTCGAAGAAGCAGGGGTGCTTCTAAGAAGCCCTCCCGCCTCCCCCCACCCCCCTCTGCGCGTGGCTGGGTATTTTCCAATATTTTCTGGGTCTTTGTCTTCTCCTCCACTTCCCATACTCTCCCATATCTTCGAGGGAATCGACGATCCTCCCCCCTCCCCCCACCCCCCTCTGCGCGTGGCTGGGCATTTTCCGATCTTTTCTGGGTCTTTGTCTTCCCCTCCACTTCCCATACTCTCCCATATCTTCGAGGGAATCGACGATCAATCGTCCTCCTCCTCCTCCTCCTCCTCCTGTCTGTGTGATTTTTCCCTCCTGGCTGAAAGGGCGGCGCTCGGTGCGCGGCCTCCGTGTGGGGCGCAGGGGGGGGGGGGGTCAAACCCGAGCGCGTGCCCGCCGATTCTGCCGCATCGCTCCCGGCGGGGATCGCAGGTCGAGGACCCGGGTGTCTCGAGGATGGAGGCGGAGGAGGAGGAGGAGGAGGAGGAGGAGGAGGAGGAGGCGGAGGTGGTGGAGAGGGAGGAGGAGGAGGAGGAGGAGGAAGGAGAGGCGGAGGGGAGGCGGAGGGAGGCGGAGGAGGAGGCGGAGGAGGGAGGAGGAGGAGGCGGAGGATGGGGGATCAGGGATCAGGGAGCCAGAAGGGCGCACACAAAGGACAATCGGGTCGGGCCAGTCCCTGCGCGAACCGAAAGCCGGTGACGAGGGCGAGGGAAAGGGAATAAACCGAGGGGGCAGCGGCACGAGCGGCGGTGCGTCGTCGTCGTCGTCGTCGTCGTCGTCGTCGTCGTCGTCGTCGTCGTCGTGCGCGTGTCGTGAGCAGCTCCTCCTCTCCGATGGCGGGGTGTCTGGAGAGCGCTGGCCCGGGGCCTGCACGCGCATGGCAGCCTGCTCGCGGCCTATCCGTGGCTCGCTCGCGGCCCGCGCGCTGCCTGCTCGCTGCTCGCTCGTTGCCTGCTCGCTGCCTGCTCGTCGCTCAGAAGGAGCGGCACGTGCTGCTCGCCGGGACGTGCCAGAGCGGCATGGCCTGCTGCTTGACCACCTCGCGGCTTCCTCCCCATGCCTGCGGTGTCCTGCTTTTTCCATGCGCCCCCCCGGAGATCCCGACCTCTACCCCAGGGCCCGTCTTTCGTCGCGAATCGTTTTTGGACGGCTCGGGGGCCCGGCGAGGGCCCCCGGAGGCCCCGAACCCGCCCGAAATCCTCCCGTCGTTTTTTTTTTTTTTCCAAACAAAAAACGACGCGAGCATGCCTGGGCCCTCTGACTTCTCTGTCATCGGCCGTGCGGCCTGGCCGGACGACCGAGCCGTCCTCCCAAGCAGGGGGTTTCACTTCGTGGGGAAGGCGATCGTTTTTTTGTTCCAGCGCACTTGTTGGATGGATGTCGTTGTTGTTGATGATGGTGATGACGAGGAGAAGGAGGAGGAGGAGGAGGAGGAGGAGGAGGAGGAGGAGGAGGAGGAGGAGGAAGAGGAGAAGTAAGAAGAGGAGGATCACTGGGGGGGCAATCGATGGGGGGGGGAGAACCGTGCACCTGCCGTGCCCCTTTTGGGCCCCAGAGGGGGCCCTTTTCGGACACAAGGCACCTTGCTTTTGCCCCCCATGTACTGACTGTCGATGGCGCGAGCGTGTGTTTGGACAACCGACTCGATCGGTGTTCTCTAGTTTCCGATCTCAAAATCAGATATGCACTATGACGATCTTTGCGCAACGCCCGACCGCCTACGTCGTCGCCTAAATCGTCGTCGTCGTCGTCGTCGAACCGCGCCCCCCGCCACCCAAGGGGTTGCGGGCGGGGGCGCGGACACCGCGTGGGCAGGTGAGCGAGAGGAGGAGGGGGTTGAGGACGCGAGTGGGAGGGGGAAGGGGGAAGGGGAAGGGGAGGAGAAGGGGAAGAGGACGCGACGGGGAGGGGGAAGGGAAGGAAGACGCGATGGGGGAGGGAAGGGGGGAGGGGGAGGACGAGAGGGGCACGAGCAGCAGGGAGGAGGAGGAGGAGGAAAAGGAGTGAGGAGGGAAAGGGAGAAAACTGGAGGCTGGGTCGTTAAGAAAAAAGAAAAGAGAGAGTGAGAGAGAGAGAGAGAGAGAATGAGAGCGAGGGGGAGTTGTGGAGCGAGAGAGAGAGAGAGAAAGAGGCGAGAGAGAGAACAAACAAGGACTTAAAGACGAGAGAGATTTATTAGGGTAGAGGTAGATGGAGAGAGAGAGAGAGAAAATGAGAGAGAGAGAGAGAGAGAGAAACAAGAGAGAGAGAGAGAGAGAGACGGGGGAAAGAGAGAGGGCCAGAGAGAGAGAAGCAACGATACTGAAAGAGGGATGGCTGAGGGAGGGAGAGAGAACAGCCAAGAAGGGATGGGGAGGAGGCCGAGGGGAGACGGAGGACGAGGAGGGGGAGGATGCATGAGAGGAGGGCACGAGGACGATCATGGGCGGGCGGGGGGCGAGGAGGAAAGGGGAGCAGCGGCGACGACGACCCCTCGCGGGCGGGCGGGCGGGCCGATCCTGCGCCGGAGGCGTCTCCGCGGCGTCGGTGCCACGGGGCGGCGCGGCGCGGTGGGCGCCGCCGACGGCGTGCGCGCCGCCCTTGGGGAACGACAGCAGGTCGGCGTCCTGGCACGCTGCGTCGCAGTCATCGCCGTCGCCATCGTCCTCGTAGGCGTCGTCGTAAGCGTTGTCGTCGTCGTCGCCGCCGCCGCCGCCGTGGTCTGAAGTCCTCTGGATCGTCGCCGTCGCTGTCGTCGCCGTCGCTGTCGTCGACGTCTTAATGGATCGTCGTCGAAATCGAGGTCGACCTCATCGAGGTCGCCCTCTCCGTTGTCGGAGGGAGACAACCGCTTGAACGTGGTCGGAAGGAAACAACCGTTTGAAGCTCATGGAGAATGCCAAAACACCATTCCCAAAACTCGAACGCCACGAACCAACTTGACTGTTGCGTCTCGGCGATCCTGAACTGTGCCAGGACGCCATTCCTGGGACTTCAACACCGTGAATCAACGTAACTGTTGCGCCCTGACAGCCCTGAACCGTGCCAGAACACTAATTCTGGTACGCTGACCATGAGAGCCCCTGGAACTCTCGCACAAGGTTTAAACCATTGTGCGCGGCGCGAAGGCGAGAACCATATTTTGAAAAGGACCACCCTCAATCAGCGAAGTTTTTGCACTATTGCAAACGATTGCGCGCGGTTCTAATGCGACAGCCACATGTTGAAAACGGCCCACCCTCAATCCGCGAAGCTCTTACACATTCTTAACATGAGTGCGCGGGGCGCTACTGGGCATCGCTCGGACGCCCATTCCCTGTGTTTTTTTTTCGGTTCCGTGCGTGGTTTTTTCGCCAAATGATTAATGATGCTCCTCGATGGTCCCCGCCGAAAGAAAAATGCACACGTCCGAGCGATGCCAAGGCTAAAGCGAGAGCCATATTTTGAACACCGCCCGCCCTCCGCGTGTGAAGCTGCTGCCCGTTCTCAGGCTTCAGGATCCGAGTCGGCGAAGAAATCTGGGGCGAAACGCCCGGTCCACCCTTTCGACTGGCCTCGGGGGGCGACAGGGAGGATTTACTCACAAGAGAAGGAAAAGAGGAGGAGGAGGAGGAGGAGGAGGAGGAGGAGGAGGAGGGGGAGGAGGAAGAGGGGAAAAATAATAGAGGAGGAGGAGGAAGGAGGAGGTGGAGGTTTGGAGGAGGAGGAGCAAGGGGGGAGCAGAGGAGGCGGAGGAGGGGAGGCAGAAGGTAGGTAGGAGGAAGGAGGAGGCGAAGGAGGTTCCTGAGGGAAGAGGAGAGGTATAGGCGTGCCCTGTCCTCCTGTGAGGAGAGCAACTCGAGCCACCTGCCTGGGAAATGATTACAAAACCCACTATCAAAACTGTGCCCGGGAAGTGCGCGAGGCTGCCGCAGTGGCGTTCGCGTGCCCCCGCGCTGCCCCCATGAAGCCCTCGTTTCAATGCGAACTCTCGGCTTCGTCCTTGTCAATAGGGGAACGAACAACGACATGAACATAATAACTCGGAGCTCCGCGCGGATTTCTCGGTTCGGCGCTGGGCCCCCCTCCCTGGCGCCGGAGGCGCCGCCAAGGGGCCCCAGCGCCGATCCGAGAAATCCGCGCGGCCCTCAGAGTTTTTATGTTTATGTCATTGTTCGCTCCCTTAGGCAAGGCCATCCACAAGAAGGCTCAGTGCACAGGACCTCCAGGCATGAGCACAAAGTCGCTCAAGCATTTCTGTCAGCGCATCGCAGCAGGATGCCTCAGAAGGGCGATAAGCTACGCACTCATATGCCTGAGGACAGTGACCTAATCAAGCCAGTTCTACGATGCGCAAGGAAGGCATTACAATCAGCGCTCGCCGACTACGCCCTGGCCCTCGAATTGCCGGTGCAGCTACTTGCCTTCCTTTGACTGCTAGCAACCCATCTCTCACGGGTATTGAACAAGCGTCGTCTTGAACATCGTGAGAAGACAACTGAGACCGCCAGGGTCAGGGCAGATGCTCACGCGCCTAAGGACGAGTGGCAGAACCTAGAAAGCTTGTCTGTGCGGGGGGGAAAGGAGCACCTCGGCGGATGCCGATGTCCTCCCACTCATAGAGGCCCCCGCCAGTGAGCACATGGAGGGTCCCGTTGTAGCTGTCTCTCAACACGTTCAGGACAGATCTCGCAATCTTGAATGTGGTGTTGAACGCAAGCAGCAGCAACTTGCATCCAGCTCCGCAAGCTTCCAATTCAAGCTTGCCGTCGTCCACTTCAAGATTTCCTCTACAAGCCCGAGGGAGAGGAAGGGGGAGACAGCCCGTTTGAGCCAGGCGCGGCGCGGCGGGCGTCGTCGTCGTCGTCGTTCGTCTCTCGTCGTCGCGCGCGCGCCTCCCCTCTCTCCCTCTCCTCTCCTGGCTGCCCTCCCCGCCTCTTCTGTCCTCCCTCGGCCCAGTTCCGCCGGTGTGCCTCGCTTCGCACGGTGCCCGGACTCCCTGCCATCTGGCACCAAGGGCTGCCCGTCCGGGCTCGGCCCCCCGAGCCCTGCGGCACCCGCCTTCGCCCCCGGACCTCCTGGTGCGCTGCAGCTCCGACCGGGCCTTCCGCCTCGCGCAGGTGCGAAGGGGCCCTGGGACACACACGTAACTAGACTCAAACGACAGGATGCTCAGCATCTTCCTATCTTTACTCGGCTCTCATCATCCCCCCCCGCTTCCCATAGTTCCCTATATCTTCTCGGGGATCGGCGATCCATTTTTTTCTCTCGCGCAGGCAGCCCGCTGCTAATGCGCAGCCGCGTGCCCCCCGGCGCTTCCGCGCCGACCTTCGTTCGGGGATGGACAGAACCCCCTTAGTAAAACGTGGTTTAGTGAAAACGACCTCGGGCCCAAACCTGGCGGGCGCAAGCCTGGAAAATGACGGCCGCGGCGCCCTCTCGAAAAACGAAAACGGACAATTCACTAATCGACGTGTCAGGGTGGGGGTTCTGTCCACCCCCGATTCGTGGTCCGATCGGGACCCGCCCGTCTCCTCTCGTCCCTTGCCCTTTCGCTCCGTGCCTGTCTCGGCTTCCGGTGCAGCCCACCCGCTTTGGTCGGCGCCCGATCGTGCCGCCCGCCCTGGGCGCCCGCGGGCGGAACGCCCAAAGTGCGGTGAGACCACCTGCCATCGCTCGGACGTCCACTTCCCGCATTTTCCGGTCTCGTGCGTGTCTTGTCTGCTCGATGGCCCAGGATGGTCCTCGATGGTTCTCGCCGAGAAAAAATATATGCACAAGTCCGAGCGATGCCGAGACCAAGGCGGATGGCGCCCCAGACGCTGGGGAGGGGAGGGGGGGAGGGGGGAGGGCCGCAGGGAGGGGGTTGGGGGAGGTGCTGGGCCGGGGGGGGGGGAGGGATAGTGAGGGAGGGGGGGGGCGAGGGGTTGGGGGTAGGAGGGGGGGGGAGCTGTAGGAGGGGAGGGAGGATTGGGGGTGGGGATGAGGGGTGAGGAGGAAGGGGGTAGGGATGGGGGGGGGGGAGGGGGAAAGGGGGGGAGGGTGTGGGACAGGGGGAAAGGGGGAAAGAGGATGGGGGGGAAGGGGGGGGAAGGGGAAGGTGCGGGGCGGTGCCCCGTGTGCAGTCCTGGTCAGACGTGCCCGTCACGCTCCCTCCGCTTCCGCCAGGCAGCGGTGCGCCGGGGGGCACACGGCGCGAGACCCTTCAGAGCGCTGTCGGCGAGAGGCGGAGGCAGGTACCCGCGGGCCAACGACCTACACACTCGGCCCCGACGCCTCCCGAAGGCGCCTCACAACGAGGGAAGTGCACTCGCCAGCTCTCTCGTCGTCGTGGCCGTTGTCGTTGCTGTTGCCGTTGTCGTCGTCGTCGTCGTCGTCGTCGTCGTCGTCGCCGCCGCCGCCGTCGTCGTCGTCGTCGTCGTCGTCGTCGTCGTCGTCGTCGTCGTCGTCGTCGTCGTCGTCGTCGTCGTCTTCCTCACCCTCCTCCGATTCTTCCTTCTGCTCCTCCTCTTGCTTAGGATCTCCCTGTGGGGCCTTGTTGTACACCTTGCCAACATGCGGCTGCCGTTCCTCGTCTGGGTCGCCGTACACCTTGCTGTAGCCGCCCCTCTCCTGGGCAACAAGCGACAGAAGGGGCTGAGCCGCAATCGCCGCTCTCTCCTTCGGCAGCGAATCTTAGGTCGGGCATTTCCCCCTACAGGCAGATTTTCGACGAAACATAAAGCAGACTCATCAAATATTCAAAAATGATAAAACAATTTTTTAAACATCGTCCTCAGAGCATTTTTGACAATTTTTGAATATTCCTCCTGTAGAGGGACAGGCCCGACTTAAAACTAACCTGGCTTCTCCTCTTCCATCTCCCTTCTCATCCTCTGCCTCTATCCCTCTGCCTCACAAATCCTTCCCTTCGCGCCAACAAATGCATCGGACAAGCGGTCCGGACGTTTCGCCCGAAGCTTCCTCCCGTTCATGTGATCATGAAACGTTTGATTTTCGAATGGTGGTGCTGGCGACTGGACCTCAGATCGTGAGGCCATACAGTCCATGGGGTGCAGTCTGTTGGGTGCAATTCAATGTGTGACGAACTTGGAGCCGCCAGCTCCGCTGCTCGAGCACACATCCGTCATGCACTTCGAGCCCGATCTGTGGCAGCGATCGCGTTGGGACATGTAGGCTACACCCTTTTGCGCCGTCTCGACAGCTGCATGTGGTACCTTTTTATGGCCGTCTGGGAACGTGCTGGACCAAGTCGTATTTACATACTTTTAAGCCGAACTTGGCCCCCCTTCAAGCCCACGGGCCTACCTAAAGGACTGTGGCGGATCATCGCTGTCCCTTTCGAATGTCCAGCCGAGGGTCGCCTCGCGCTTTCAATCGGCGGTGGACAAACCTCCCTTTAGTAAACCTCCCCTTCGTGAAAACGACCTGGGACCGAAACCGACGGACCTGGACCCGCAAAAGTGACGGCCGTGACGCCCTCTCGCGAAGCGAAAACGGCAAATTCCTTAATCGACGCGTCAGGGTAGGAGGTCTATCAACCTCCGATTCAAAGCCACCCATCCTTCGTTTCCTGCGATGGGTCCGCGCCCCTTGAGTCCACAACACCTTTTGGGACCGACCCGCGCTCTAACAAGCCTCCGAATAACAACAAGGACCGACCACAACGATGTTTCAAACGCGTTGGCGTTTAGAACGAAAACCAGAACGAACAACGAAACGCGCGCCCTCAAAAACCGTTTAGCATACAAACGCGTTTAAATCACAAACGAACAACACAATGGAACAACAACGACCAACGAAACGACACACACACAACAAGGGCAAACACCAAGCTGAACATCGTTGTGGTCGGTCCTTGAAGAACAAACAGGGCCTCGCAGGGCCCCGCGTGGTCGCCAAGATTATGTCAAAGCTCCCCAGGACATCCCAAGGGCTTGGCTGTGCCAAGGCCCTCACGGTGGAGGGGCATCCGGAAAGACAGCCAGCTCGTACAGTCAACCCGTATAATAAGGATGCGCGGTAAGGATGCAAGGGCCTTGGAAGGCCATGTCGACACTTTGCGAGTGGGGCGCAGCCAGCGAATGCGGCCAAGGATGGGCCGAAGGGAAAGGATGCAAGGGTAACATTGGAAGTTGCTCATCCTTACTATGCGGGTTGACTGTACCAACGCCACAGTTCGTTGCCAAAAGCCAGGCCCCCGAATGGCTCGGTCACAGTATGCCGGACGTGCTAACAGCGTGCGTGTAATCGGCAGCGGGAGGAGCAAGGCATGAATGAGGATCAGCGGGCGGAGACTGCCTAGCTGACCGCACGCCTGCTTGCACGTCCACGCATACGCCTCCGTCTGCTTTCCTGGTTCTAGCGCTCTCGAGCGGGTCCTCCTCCTCCTCCTCCTCCTCCTTCTCCTGCTCCTCTCCTCCTCCTTCTCCTCCTCCTCCTGCGCCTCCTCCCCTCCGCCGCCGCCGCCTCCTCCTCTTCCACCGATTCCTCCTCTTACTCCTCCTGCTCCTCCTCCTCCTCCTCCTCCTCCCACCCTCCTCCTAAACCTCCTCCTCCTCCTCCTCCTCCTCCTCCTCCGTCTCCTCCTCCTCCTCCTCCGTCTTCTCCTTCTTCTCATCTTCCCCCTCCGCTCTCCTCCCCCATCTTTGCTGCTGGAACGCCCGGAGAAGGTCCTGCTCCCACGTCATGGTCGCAACGGTCTCTGGCATGCTGTCTGGGCTCCGACGCACCCGGGCCCGCTCCTTCGCGGCCGCGGGGAGAACGGGCGAGGGCCAGGGGGGGATGCAGCAAAGCTCCGCCGCGAACACGAGAGACGATAATGGATCGAGGAGGAGGAGGAGGAAGAGGAGGAAGAAGAGGAAGAGCATGAGGAAGACGATGATGATGATGATGATGACGATGATGATGATGACGATGATGATGACGATGATGATGACGACGATGATGATGATGATGATGATGATGATGATGATGATGATGATGATGAAAATGATAATGATAATGATAATGATAATGATAAATGATGATGATGATGATGATGATGATGATGATTGATGATTGATGATGATGATGATGATGATGATGATGATGATGATGATGATGATGATGATGATGATGATGATGATGCCGAGGAGGAGGAGGAGGAGGAGGAGGGGAGGTGGAGGAGGAGGAGGCGAGGTGGAGAGGGGAGGGGGAGGAGGAGGAGGAGGAGGAGGAGGAGGAGGAGGAGGAGGAGGAGGAGGAGGGGGAGCAGGAGGAGCGAGACGCGCGCCCGCTCCTGGCCTCGCTGACTCCCTGGGCCTTCGCGAGGCCGGCGCAGCCGAGGGCCCAAGGGCGCACCGGGAGCCCCCCCGGGGCACGCCGCGGGACGGCGAGGACGACCGCGAGAGGGCTTCGTGCTGCCCTCGAGCTCCCACTGCTCTCGCTCCTCGCCGTCGCTCCTCGCTCCTCGCTCTCGCTCCTCGCGCTCGCTCTGCTGCGCTCGCTGTCCTTCGTGCTGCCCTCGAGCTCCCACTGCTCTCGCTCCTCGCCGTCGCTCCTCGCTCCTCGCTCTCGCTCCTCGCGCTCGCTCTGCTGCGCTCGCTGTCCTTCGTTCTGCCCTCGATCTCCCACTGCTGCGAGGCAGGCTCGAGACGAGCACGGCCCACGAGATCGCCGGAACACCGTTTTGGCTCTCGCTCTGCTGCTTTCGCTGTCCTTCGCTATGCCCTCGACCTCCCACTGTCGGGAGCGGCCAATAGGGGGGTGTCCACGAAGGGGGGGTGCAAATCCTGACCGGCGGCATGCGCGCGGCCCTGCGGGGGGGCCAGGGACGTGATGAAATAAGAAGAGGCGCCATGAGATCTGGGGAAACATCGTGGCCCCCGCCATGAGACCCACCCCCCCCGAGTCATCACCCCCCTCTTTTCCGCCCCCGAGCGTGAATACAGCCGGGGCCTTGACCTAAGGAACCCAAAATAAGGAACGAGGCCCCTTTATTCCATAAGTTAACCTTCGATTTCCGATCGAAAACATAAGGAAAACCTGAGGCAAGCTGCGGAACACTTCAGGAACGCGGAGCCCCTCCCCAACGAAAAAGGTTCCTTCTTCAGGGCCCACTGCTGCGAGGCGAGCTCGAAACGAGCACGGCCCACGAGATCGCCGGAACACCGTCTTGGCTCGAGCACCGGACGAGCGCGCGTGCGCCCGGCGCCCTCGTGCGGCGGCACCGCTCTCCCCTCGTGCTGCGGCGCCTGAGCAGTCGAGGGCCAGGGAAACGAGGAGGAGGAGGAGGAGGAGGAGGGAGGAGGAGGAGGAGGAGGAGGAGGAATAGGAAAAGGAGGAGAAGGAGGAGGACGAGGAGGAGGAGGAGGAGGAGGAGGAGGAGGAGGAGGAGAAGTCTTCGGCCGCGAATGGGAGCGGTCGAGGCGCGACGCGAGGGGGACGGTAAGGGGACAGCAGAAGAGGAGCCCCTTCGCCCTCGACCCTGCGTTCGTCCCCCCCCCCCTTCCCCCCAATAGCAAGGCGGGCTTCGGCCTCCCGGAGGCCGTGGGGGGTCCACGTTTTTTTTGTTGCTGCTCTCTCGTGCCTGTGCTGCCGAACGCTTGAGGCCAACTTCGAAATTGGGGGGAGGGGGGGGGGCGGTGTCGAGGGTGAGGAGCATGGCGTGCACGCGGCGGGTCAGGAGGCGGATGACGAGGAGGAGCAGCAGCGAGGACAGGATCACACGAGCGCAGAGGTGTACCCGACGACGTCGTGGCTGTCGTGAGAACAGAAGGAGAGGAAGAAGCAGAAGAGGCAGCACAGGACGACGGACATCGACGTGTGGCTTGTCCAACTGTTCCGCCCCGCCAGCTTTTGAGCCTGGGAGCAGTTTGAAGAAGACCAGGAGGAGCAGGAGAGATGATGATGATGATGATGATGATGATGATGATGATGATGATGATGATGATGATGATGATGATGATGATGATGATGATGCTGCTGATGATGATGATTATGATGATGATGCTGATGATGCTGATGATGATGATGATGATGATACTGATGCTGATGCTGATGATGATGCTGACGCTGTTGCTGATGCTGCTGATGGCTATGATGATAATGACGACGACGACGATTATGATGACGATGATGATGATGATGATGATGATGATGATGATGCTGCTGAGGACTACGATGCTGCTGATGGTTATGATGATGGTGATGGTGCTGATGACGATGGTGATGATGATGACGATGAGGATGCTGGTGATGATGAAGATTATGATGATGATGATGATGCTGATGATGATGATGATGAGGGTGATGGTGATGCTGATGATGATGAGGATGATGATGGTGGCAATGATGATGATGATGTTGATGATGACAACGACGATTCTGCTGATGATGATGGTGATGATACTGATGATGGTGATGATGGTGATGATGATGCTGATGATGCTTATCATCATCATCATCGTCATCATCAGCATCATCATCATCATCAACACCATCATCATTATCAGTATCCATACGATGAGTGGTATTTGTATCGTGAGTATGCCGATCGTGATTATGATGCCGAATATGATGATGCTGCTGATGCTGATGATGCTGATGATGATGATGATGGTGCTGTTGGTAATGGTGATGGTGGTGATGACGCAGGGGTTGGAACGATGGCCATGGACATATTTAGAACACTGACGGTGGCAAGACATGGTGCCACAGCTCACGAGTCCTTCGGGAGACTCCCGGGCTCTCTTCGACACCCGCAAACAAGGGCGGGCGGGAGGGAAGCTTGAGCGCAGATGCGACATGCGGGTCGCCGCGCGCTGTGCCGTTGCCATCCGCCCGGTCCCTCCCGCTCTCGCCGTGCTCCGCTCCATGTGCAGAGGAAGGACGGATTGAGCTGCTGCCGTCTGTCTCCCAAGCTTGCTGTGTGGAGGGACACGCCCTTGGGAGAAACAGGACAAGCATACAAGACAAGATACAGTTGAGGCTGTACACCCCCACGGCCTGCGGGCAACGGCCCCTGACCCAGACTGGGGGAGAAAAGAAGAGAAGCAAACGTTGCGAATGGGGTCCGCTAAGCGAACAGAGGAAGGAGGAAGGAACCGTGGCGATGTACATCTTTTGCAGAATGACGGTGGTAGGCGTCTGCCACGAGAGCCCTTCGGGAGACACTCGAGCAAAAACCTTAGCATCACGGCCGAAGGCCGCAAATATGTCTCCTTCTCAATCGAGGCAGTCTGGACAACATATGATCTACAGTCGGCCCGTATCATGAGGATGCGCGCGACAAGGACGCAAAAGGGCCCTGGGCGCCAATTCCGAAGCTTCTCGAGCGGGGCGCGGCCAGCGAAAGTGGCCAAGGAGGGGCCGAGGAGGCAAGGATGCAAGGGTACCCTTGGGAAGGTTGCCCATCCTTGCAGCGCGGGCTGACTCTATAATCTCGGCCACCCAGTCGGCCACCGTCGTCAGGGGAAGGAACACTTTACGCATGCAGGCCACGCCGCTCGCCGTGCGACCGTCCAGAACTAGCAGGGCCCCCCTGGATCGCGAGCGCACGTTCGAGCGGAGGAGGCGTCGGGCGGGAAATTCGCCGTGGGCCTGAGCGGCGGGAACCCGACACGAGACTCTGGCGCCGGAATGTCCAACGCACGCGCGCGCGAATCCTGAGTGCTCCAGAGAATTCGTGGCACCCTCCACTCCGCAGTTCCAGCGGCATCTGACAGGGCCGCGGTGAAAACGAGTGCCGGCACAGACGCCTCGAGCGAGACTACGTAAGACAGCCAATCCCAGACGACAGCTCAAATCTTTGACAACCGCGCGTGCTACCTGACAATGCACGGCAGCATCGCCTGCGGCAGCCGCGAGGCCGGGAGAGCTTCCAGGGAGCCGCGCGCCTTCTAGAAAGCCCAGTGGTCGAGGTCGGAGAGGGAGCGTTCGAATCTCGATGCAGCTCTGTTCGACTGCGGCAGCCGCGAGGCCGGGAGAGCTTCCAGGGAGCCGCGCGCCTTCTATAAAGCCCAGTGGTCGAGGTCGGAGCCCAGACATGCGACGTCCTGATTTTTCCAGGACGGCGTCCCCGGAAGTCCCGACTCTTTCCCCGGGGCCGGTTTGTATCCCGAGTCGTTTTCTAACAGTCCCGGGGGCCGGCGAGGGCCCCCAGGGGCTGAAAATAGCGAAAAACCTCCGTCCTGAGACTTTTTACGACGCGATCCCAGACCCCCGACGTAATGTTTTTTTCATTACGTCGACCCCCAGAGGTCCCGACCCTTTCCCCATGACCGGCTTTGCATCCTGAGTCGTTTTTTGACGCTCCCGAGGCCTGGTAAGGGCCCTCAGAGGCCGAAAATAGCGAAAAACCTCCCGTCGTGATTTTTTCATGACTCGAGGAGGTCTGGGATCATGTCTGGGAGAGGAAGCCTTCGAATCTCGATGCAGCGCTGTTGGCACTTCCGCTGGGCACCGCTCCGTCCGCCGGGCCCGGTCTGGAATCTCCAGATATTTCGCGCGGCCGCGCCGGTCCTCCTCCCCGGGGGGGCGGGGTCCACGGGGGGGGTCCTTTCCTCCTCCTCTCTCTCCCCTCCTCTCCTCTCTCCTCCTCTTTCTCCGCCTCTTCTTCCTCCTCTGCTCCACTGACTCCGGATCCGCCCTACTTTGGGCAATTTCGTAAGTAGGCCTGGAATTTCCGCCTTAGTTTTCAAGCCCCGGTGATGCCAATTTCCTCCTCCTTATAAGGAGATAAGGGAGGAGGCGGAGATAAGGG